CCTTGAAGCGTATCCGAAGACCAATAGGCAGCCAATGCAGCTCGCGGAGGATAGGTGTTATGTGGGTGAACCGAGGTGCACCCACGATCGCTCGCGCGGCTGCATTCTGGACAAGCTGAAGTCTCCGAATGCTCTTCAAGGGCTGCCCCTTGAAATGGTCCAAGTGGGGAAAAAAAACGTGAAAAAAATAATTTAATAGCACCCAACACACTAAAACTTCTTCACATTAATAAAGTTGTTCTTTTCATCCGGGTGAAATCCAAATGAACTTTCTCGAATTCGTTTTAAGTGATTTTTTTTCTCCCCCGTCCAGCCCTTCTTAACCACATTTCAAAATGAGAATTACCTGGTAGCACTAACACCATTGTGGGCCAACCTGATGAGCCAGAGAACTTTTTCAGTTCTATCCAGGAGTTAAGGTTTTCATGGACGGATGCCTGCTTGGGTCCAAATCCTGAAAACTGGAGGACTCGCGCAGGAATGAGCAAGCGGAGGACATCCTCCGACTGAGCCGTTCCACACTGGCTATCAAACTCTATCGAGATCCACCTGACACATTCTGGAAAGGTCACCTAAAAAGACAAAACAAAACAGAAGAGGGAAGTACAAAGGACTTTTCTGCTGCCACCACGACTGGATGAAATTGAAATCTGCTGAACCAGCCTCAGGATGCATGCCTGATTATCCTACACATCCTACAACAGTGACGGCTAACCTTTTTCTCCTCGCGTGCTAAAAGGGCTTGCACACTGATGACAGCGCGCGTGTGTGTGGCCACACCCATAATGCAATGTGCGCGCAACATCCCCTGCGTGCCCCCGCCCCCTGCGCATGTATGTGCGACCCCCGCACCGCATTTTGGGCCTACCAGGCCTACCTGAAGCCTCCTGGGACCAAAAATGGAGTGCGGGGGAAAAAGAAAACCACCCAATGCCCCAAGCTCACCTTGTAGTGGGTGACGCATGCTGGCTTGTACGGATGTTCGCTCTCAATGACAGCATAGTGATTAGAGGTGGTGCATGCGGAAAGGCCTTGCTCAGGCTGGTTGCCGGTGGTGCTGTCGGTGGACTGATTGGGATTAAAGGCCAGAGGGGTGTACTTCTGGTTCAGCACTGCGACGGAGGGAAGCAGCTGCTGAACCAGGCCAAAAACCTCCATGGCTACCTGTGGGGTGACAAAAGGCAGATGGAGCAGGGGTGGGATTCACTGGTTTGCCGAACAAGTTGTTGCAAGAACTGACTGCCACTGCCCACCCCACCTCGCCCCTCCCAGGAGTCTCCACGTGATCCGTTCATCATGCCAGGTAAGTGCAGGGCCCACAAAGCAGCTCTGGGACGATGAAAACGGGCCTCCTGGAGCCCGGGGAGACCGTTTTTGCTCTCCTGGAAGCTCGGGAAAAGCCTCCGGAGCCTGGGGAGGGCGAAAACGCCCCTCCCTCCGGTGCAGGAGGCCGAGTAGGCCACACCCACTCAGCAACCGGGCAGAGAACCAGTTGCTAATGTTTTTCAATCCCACCCTTGAGAATTTTTTTATACTTTTCTATTTTTTTTTCCATTTCAAAAGGTTTTTATTTTCCATTTTTTCATTTTCATCCACTCACATATATACTGTGCATAGCCAGAGCCATACAACATTAAACAATAATCGCAGCAATTCCTCTTGTCAACAATAGCCCAAAAAATAGAAACCCAATATACATCTTCCACTCTCCGTACACCTCCTTCTTCCACCCCCCCTCCAACTTACTATCTTCCCTCCATCATCCCACTCTACCCTACTTCCCCTCCCCCTCTACCACTCCCCTCTCCCGATCCACTCCCTCCCTTCCTTCTCACCCTCCCTCCCATCCTCTCTC